TATATAAAACGTGCGCATAAATATTTTCTCTACTCTCGATTTTACCTTTCATCCCCGTCACGTGTCGACAATTATACGTTTACAGCGAGCGATTGCTTCGAGCTGGGCCGACAGTCTTATCACAATCGCGATTACTATCACACGGTACTGTGGATGCAGGAGGCCATGGATCGCCTACAGGAAGAGCAGAACGCTACCACCACTTCCAAGCCCGACATTCTGGAATATCTGGCGTTTTCAACGTATATGCAAGGTTCCGACAGTAAATTATATTATGCATGTCGTACCACGTCGTAAGGACGCGGGAAAATTTCTAAGGAAACAGCTCGCTCCTCTGACAGCACCAAATATGTTATTCCATCTTTAATGTCGACCAGGTAACGTCGCTCGCGCTTTGAGCATGACGAACGAGCTGCTGGAATTGGTGCCGACACACGAGAGAGCGTTAGGAAACCGCGCGTATTACCAGAAGGAGATCCAAAGTAAGGCGAGCCAATCGAAAAAGAAACGGGGCGAGGATGGGAAGGACGACACGGCGATACCCGAACAGGTAAAGCCAGCCTAATTGGAAATCAGGAGACTTCATTAAGAGAAAGCGGTTGTTGGAAACGCGATTTAAATGGAAGGCTGCACATTTTGACACAATTATTAAATATAACAAATTAATTTGGCCTCTGTTTATCTCGCGGTTGATGTTAAGATATCGTTAAACGGACGAACTTTCCCCGTCAACTGTTACTTGAGGAGGACGTGAAATCTCGGGGAGTAATCCCGTTTGCCGCAATCGTCCAATAAAGTTTGTTATCGCGTCTGCAGAACTTCACTGTCGCCGAGGAAAGGGTTAAAACGTGGGAGGAAATGACGGAGAGGGAGAGATACGAGATGCTTTGTCGTGGCGAAGTGTCTATTCCGACGGAGGTGGAGAAGAATCTCAAGTGCCGCTACGTCGACCGTGGAATTCCCTTTCTGAGGATCGCGCCGTTCAAAGAGGAGGAAGCGTATCTGGATCCGAGGATAGTTGTGTATCACAACGTGATCTACGACGAGGAAATTGAGACGATCAAGCGGATGGCTCAGCCTAGGGTAAATAGTCGTAGTTTACCGAAAATTATCGCCCGCCGAAAACGAGAACGCGAGCGCGCCGTGTTCTCTTCCTGAAACGCCGTGTGTACATCGCGTGCTTCCGCGCCTCGCGAAATTACAGGAATTCCTGGAGATAATGGCAATTACGTGTTGCAGTTTAAGCGCGCCACGGTGCAGAATTACAAGACCGGCGCCTTAGAGATAGCAAATTACAGAATCAGCAAAAGCGCATGGCTCCAGGAACACGAGCATAAGCACGTAGCGGCGGTGAGCAAACGCGTGGAACACATGACGAGCATGTCCGTGGAGACGGCCGAGGAGCTTCAGGTCGTCAACTATGGCATCGGCGGCCACTACGAGCCGCATTTCGATTTTGCGAGGGTAAGCCCGTCGGCTTTGAGAAGCGAGCGAATCGGCTTGCGCAATCCCTCTGTGGTTCACCTGTCGTGACGTTGATTAATTCAGTCCTGTTTTGCGCTTGCAGAAAGAAGAGACGAATGCGTTCAAGAGTCTCGGGACCGGCAACAGAATCGCGACAGTGCTGTATTACGTAAGTCTTAATTTCGCGCGCCTTGTCGCTGACAGCTCGGAATGACGCGTAACGCTTTGTCTCATTATCTATAGATGAGCGACGTCGAGCAAGGAGGCGGTACCGTATTCACCGCCATCAACATATCCCTTTGGCCGAAGAAGGGTAGCGCGGCGTTTTGGTACAATCTGAAGCCTAACGGCGAGGGAGATTTTAAAACCAGACACGCGGCCTGTCCGGTACTTACAGGATCGAAGTGGGGTATGTTATTAAAATGTTTTTGTTGTTGCTCTTAAAGTTTAATAATATTTCGTGCATATTAATTTTTTTCTCTATCTTTTTTTTTTTTTTAGTTGGCGAACAAATGGCTGCACGAGAGAGGCCAGGAGTTTCATAGACCTTGTACGTTGGAGAATCAAGCGACAGACGAAGTGATCAGGCACTGAAGGGAACTCGCGTTTTCTTCAAAACTGTGACAGAAAATAAATAAAAAAAAAAATGCGATAAATAAGATAAAAGAAGTAACTAAGAGATACTTCGGAATTTTTGCTCTGAATAAAGAGACATTTTACACTCTCAGAACGGCGACTTCGTAAGAAAGCGCGCGGTACGAATCGTCATTTAGGAAGTAAGAACGTTCGGCCCGCGTGCAAAAAGCGACAGTGCAATTTAGTGTAGGTAGGCAAACTGCGAAATCCTCTGCTTGCGTTTACGAAAAAAAAAGCCGTCACCGACGCGCACGATTCGCGTAATTTAATATTCGTACCACAGACTCGTATGATGATCTTTCTTGTTGGTTTACCGTGGAACATGATCCCTCGCATTACGACAGCAATTAATGTTTTCTTAATCTTCGAGGTATCCCAGCTGCAGGCGAAAACCGGTGAAAAGCGGCAGAGATTATCCGAGCGAGATTAATTCGCTTTGTTTCCCCCTGCGCTTTTCTCTTTGAAACAGACCCTGTTTCAGTAGAGATTTCTCGCTGCGCGAATCGCGGCGATCGCAATGTAACAAAGTTATTCTTTACGGCACGAATCAGCACGCCTTCTGTTTGTAGTCCGATCCAGCGTTGCCTGCAGTTCGTCATCTTGCAGTTTACGTCTACAGCGAATGTAACGTAGAGTAGATGTTTAGTACGTGAGCGTCCAATGAGCGGCGAATACAAAGAGCGGAAAAATGAAAGAATAGACTTCGAAGCTTGAACGAAACAAACGAAAGGGAAGGGAGAAGAAAAAGAAAAAAAAACTAACATGGTTGCACCAGTTCATTGCGAAGCTTTTCGCCATTTAAACGAGTTTTCCACGACGAGAACGGGATTCACTCCCGCCGTTCGCTAACACGTAAACGTTAATTGTTTCTACGAACAGAATAGCCAATACACTAATAAGATTATTACACTATGCATCATAGCCAAAGCAATAATAAATTGCGCACGTTCTGGCCAGTCTCCCCTTATCGTAGATATAGTGCGATGTAGAACAGCGAAGAACGCGATGTAACCATTAGCTCGTAGATTAATTGTAATTTGAACGCGATCATTAACGCGACCCATCAAGTCGTATCTCAATTCCGACATTATCGTGCAATAACGAGGTACTTCCGCCGAGATACTATGCGACCAAGAATCTCCTTTCGTGATGGATCGTTTTCGTCGGCTGTAAATAGCGGATGGCACGTTAATCCTATATCATCTGATCCTTCCCGGATCAGACTGTATACGAATTGTTTGTATAAAGCTGGACGACGCTGTCCAACAACGATATCGCGCTTCTTAACGACGATGTAGTATATATACAAAATTTCGCACGACGTCGTATTTAAGATCGTCCTATCTCAGCGGTGCTCAAATCATAACTATATTTTAAGTGATAAAAGAAAAGACTCGTATAAAATAATCGTGTAAAATAAATGATGACGTTTTTTTCTAAATTATGTACGAGAAAAATGATCGGAAAATTGTGTAATTTTTTTTTGGATTTAATTTTCTTCGTAAAATTAATGAAAATAGTATAAAATAACATAAATTATAGAAAGTAATATAAATTATTTATTTCTTATTTAGATTAATATTTGTATTATACATATTGCTGTAATATGTATAATACAATATTGACTTGAATTTATGTGAGTTTCATTCGTTGAAAATTTGAGAATCACTGCTTTATGAAATTATAGATGGTCGTGAATGGCTCGAATATCTCGAATGTTAATATTAGCACCTACCAGCCTCAATGTGCCGTGTGAATAGGAAATATTAATCCCAATTAAGATTTCAATGACAAACGTGCGCGAAGACTGGCTATATCGATTGACCAGCACAACTATTGTGTGTTATTTTAAAGTTATAAAGTTATACCATATCCTTTGATAAAAAAAATCGGGCACTTTGTTCGCTAAAAATTTCACTATGATAGCCCTATTAACTCGTGTTAGAATCGCATTTACTATGCTCACTTTTAGAATTATATAACATTTTAAAAATTATGTGTTGGAAGTTCATATTCTCTTATATGTATTATTTTTTCTATTTTTCTAATTTTCAGTTTCTAATCGTTATTAATTGTACGTTATTTTAATGAAGAATTTGATATTGATTACACATCAATTTGATCATCTTATTAATGTTAGGCGTATTATACAAATTACATATTGTATAATCTTTATACGTATCTCTCTTATGATTCCTTTCTAGCCACTCATGCATTTTGTATAATTGAATTTTATATTTAGCTATATTATTTAATTATCATTGTAAAAATTTTATTTTAAAGACTGACACGTTTCTGTCGCAAGACTAAATGTTAGTCTATATGTTAGAAAAGTGAAATAATTTATATCGGAGTTGAATTTCAGTTAGAAAATAAGTACCAATCTAAAAGTAGTATTTAAATAACATCCTTTTTGATGAACGTTACATCAGTATATTACTACTTTTAGGAAAATTCTGCAAGACACATTTTCTACCAATACTCTTGTATATATCACTTCGCGGAATATTGTGTCATCTAATGCATCATTTAACATGGAACGATTATAAGAAATGAGCGGCGAGTAAATTAAGAAGAAACAACCGATGAGAAATACATGGACTGGAAACAATTCCAGTCATCTTGTTAAGAGCGACTGATCTATCTAATTGTGATCACCATCGTTTTGTTAAAAAACGAAGAAAGTAAATAAAATGAAATACATCAATGGAAACTGTTGTACTGAAATCTTGGCAAAGTGTATCGTTGTAATTCATCTAAATTTCATTTCACTTAAAATTGAACATCTCTAACATATTTTTTTCTTACGTTTAACAAATCTGTAAGATGCAGTAATATAATCAATTTTTATTTAAGACTTTTGATATTTAGATAACAAAGTAATTATTTTTATATTTAAGAAATAACTTTTTACTTTCCGATTATTATATAATGTTCGGTTATTATATAATATATATATTATATAATATATTATATAATATAATCGGTTATTATAATATGTGATGTTTAGTGCGAAAAGCGATTTTGGATTATAATATATCTGAATTTATTTGATACAAAATTTTACTCAGAAAGAAAAATTTCTCGCTTGTCTCGAGTGAGAAAGGAAAGAAAATTCAGCTGTAATTGATATAGAAAAGACATAAATAGTAAAGTAATAATTCTATCAGACATTCATATATTCTCTATTCTATTCATATATTATCGATTATATTTGATTATTCTATAAATAATTGTTTTATTTCTGTATTAAAACAAATATAAGATCTTCCCTTCTCTCTCCTCTTTCTTCCCCCTTTCTTTGATATTTAATATTCATATTTATAGACATGTATATATAACTAAATTTAAACTTTATACATAATTAGGGAATAATGGATTTGTTACACTACTGCTTTGTTTAGTTAGATTGTCAATCATACGGATAATTTAAATTATTTTAATTTTTTTATTAGTTAATATAGTAAGCTTGTAAGTTTGAAAAGGTTGATTATCAACAATTTTTTTCTTTTATTATTTGATATAAGTTCTTTGCGTGACAAGCTCTTTTTATGACATCTTATTCACATTTCTGTACTTTCTCATCGTGTCTCTTTTTCTTTCCAACGACTAATTACATATCTATTTTGCTCTAAGTGCAGAAAAGCCAACTAAGTGTAACTAGGAAAAAACAGATGATTCAAATCACCTGACTCCAAGCCACTTCAGGTCGCCGAGTCGTATGGAATTCACACTTTTGGAATAAATTCGATCGGCTCAGCATATAAATGTAAGACTAAGTATATTTCATATGCATTCCGTATATATATATATATATATATATATATATATATATATGTATACTAGTAT